AAAAAAAAAAAAGAAAGAAATGAAGAAAGAAAAGAAAGATTTTAAAAAAAAATCTCCTGTTCAAAGCCTTAAACTGCCTAGTGTTATAGGGATTTTATCTACCCAATTTCCTCATGTCATGTGAGCTACAGTTGTCTAATGCTTTATACAGATATGTCATGGTTTGTGATTAATTGTTGAAATTGATAAGAGTGTGAATGTTATGCATGCTTTTCCTAAGGTTTTAGCTTCTTGGCTAGCTATCTGTATTCCTTTTCAGTATTCATGATAGTTCTTTGTTGATTTTACTAGTGAATTTTCCGTGAAATGTTCTTCTTGACCTCTATGAGCTGAGTTATTCTTTGGTTTCTAGGTGACTTCTCTGAAGTTGTGGCGGCAAGTAGGAGAATCCTTTAGGCCCCCAAAGTTAAGATCAAGTTTTATATTTTTATTTATAGTAAATAATGCAATATATTATGCTCACAGCCCACTTAATGTCAGTTGTGTATTTCTGCTTGTCTGAATACATTTGTCGCTGCACCATAAATTAAATGACAAAATGGTGACAAATAGATGGTTTTCTGTGAGTGTTTGTTCTGTTTCTCTATTCACACATACTCACAATCAGAACACTAACACTGAATTGTCATAATTATTGCATTCTTTTTCATTCCTTGGAGATGATTCATTGATTCATGCTTGTAATTTGTGACTTTTGTACAGGACCTGTACTACTGTCTCTTGGACATTTCGAGGTTTTTATGAGAAGGTAATATTCAAGTCCCTGCTCATTTTTTACTCTTGTATCGTTGTTTATTCGTGCATCTCTATATTCAGTTACCAAATATGACATCACAGTATGATTTGTGACGTTTATTTGTAGGCACTGTTGGAATATGAGAAGTACAAAATGCGTAGCGGCGAGCTACCTTTCACTGATTCTTCTTTAGCAGATCCTGCTTCTGGCAATCAGGTGAATCCATCTACATGTGATTCCAGCATGACAGCGTCCTAATCACGGCATGCATGAATGTTATTATAATGTTATAACAGCTTGCTTGGGGCATACTAGTCTAAGAAAAATTATGGTATAAAATGGTCTATGGAGTTATTCATGAGTTGCGGCTAAAATATTTGAGTAAATTCTTTACATATACTAATGGTACAGTAATTCAAATTTGAGTTTATAATGGATTGTAAAACTTATTACATTATCTATCTTAGTAAATTTTGTAACCCAGAACATGTCCTTGAAACAATTAATTTGCAGGTAGATCTAAGTAATCCTTTAGGATCAGGTAGAGCAAGAAGGGATGCTGCTGCTCGTGCCATGCAAGGATGGCACTCACAGCGGCTTCTTGGTAATGGTGAGGTTGGGGATCCCATCATTAAGGTATGTTTAGGTATTCTAATTGTTCATTCGTTTATTTCCAGTGTTTTGTATGATTGTATCTTTTTAGTCTGTGCCCCATGTTGTAGGTTTCATCTTGCATTCATACTTTGGTTATGCAGGATAAGAACCCAATTACAACACCAAAGCGTGAAAAGCAATTAAGAAACATTGGTAAGTTTTCTTGTTAGGAGTGATATTTCATGGCCTTTTTTATGGCAATTTGGATTTTATTCCACATTTGGTTAATCCTTTACTAAGGTTTCCTGAAGCGCAAAGGATCTTCTCCTGTTGAGCATGCTGTAAAAGTTGCGCATGTGGCGTCAAAATCACAGTTAAGATTTATCAGTTTGGAGCTCCTTCTGTTCTTAAAATACAGCTGTTGGCATCATTCATGGGTTGTTGGATATAGCATTCTAAGTGATTTCTAGACACTTGATATTTCTAATCCTGTTTCACCATGTTCGTGTATCAAAAGAGACTTCTGTGTCATTGAGATTCAACTGAAGAAAGATGATATCAAGCCTTCATAAGACATAGTTGTTGTTGTTTGTCAATGTTTAAGAATTCAGAGAATCATCTTTTGGACTTCAAAGTAATGATTTCAGTGGTTTGGACAGATCAGAGGTAATGGTTGTCGATGTTGGTGTCCCTGCTGATTGGGTGAAGGTCAATGTGCAGAGAATGGTATGATCTTTCCAGTCCTTCATATTTAATTGTCCATGGCATGCTCTCTGACTCGTTTTGCCTGCTGCATATGCAGAAAGACTGCTATGAAGTGTATGCTTTAGTTCCTGGGCTTTTGCGTGAGGAGGCAAGTAATAGAAAGACCTTTTACGCAATGACTTACTCGTGCACCTTATTTATAGCTTTTTGTATGTATAAAAAGGCCAAGAGGGTGGCTCTCCATACTGAAACAATTTAAAACTGAAGAGGAAGCCCTGGCCCTTTGGAGTTGGATCTCAACATTAATTTTATCAAGGGAGTTATGGGTCATATAGTGTAATAAAACTTACTAACATTGTGAGCATTTTTCTTAATTATTTGGTCTGAATACAATCTGAGTTTATGTCTCGTTGATGGTCATTGTTTTGAACAACTTGAGTGTATTGGTGGTCTTGATGATTTGTTGATGTAGAATTTAGAATACAAGTTGAATGACTACGTCATAGTTAGTTACGGTTTTGGGTAGCTTTATTCTATTTCTAAAGTTTATTTGATCCGTCTTGCTTGCGGTGACAATTTTCTATATTTGCTTGTCTTCCTAAAACTTCATTTTTTTTTTCATGCTCTAGCAACTTAAACAAAAATGTATGCGAATGGCCTGATTCTTTATTTGACAACAGGTGCGTGTGCAATCTGATCCTGCCGGGCGGTTGGTAATATCTGGGCAACCCGAACAGCTAGACAATCCCTGGGGTGTTACTCCATTTAAAAAGGTAAATAAATTTTGGTTATTGTGCTTGGTGTGTGTGGTGTGAGAGTATGTTGCCAGATTTTTAATCTCTATTAATCTCATAAACTCTTCTTTACAAGAATATTGTGTAGATGGTTTTTGAATTTCTCTTCTTCTATATGACCAGCAAAAATGTGTTTTCCCCAGGTGGTTAGCTTACCTACTAGAATTGATCCTCATCATACGTCTGCTGTGGTGACCCTTCATGGGCAACTATTTGTTCGTGTGCCATTCGAGCAAGTAGATAACTAGATATGTAGGAACATTGGTAGTTGCCTTTCTATGGTTTAGTTTTTTGGTGGCATCTTTAGGTGATCTGCTGTCACCGAAAACAAAACAAAAGAAATTGTGTAAGGTTTACTTATGTTGACTCAAGACTTGTGGTGCTTGTTTTTCTTTGAAGTAAATCAAGTATTTCAATTGCTACAAATAGCTAATTAGGCGTCTGTGATAAGGAAAAATGTTTCTCAAAATACGAAAATTCCAAATCTCTTTAGAACTGTTTATAGTGATGCAAAAGCTTAGTTGAAGTCGGCAGAACTCCATTTACCACCATGGCAAGACAATCCATCCCTGAGTTTTGGGCTAGAACTGTTTTCCCGAAAATGTCTGACCAAAGTTCCAGTTTTGTGGAGCGACATTGTAAGATGCAAGTGTTTTCCTAGTAGACGTAGTGAGCTCAAAGGACAGTGGCTGGCCTGCAAGGTTGATGTTCAATTGCCAGTTTTGGCCCCAATTCCGTGCCATTGGAGCCCATCCGGTCCTCGACCCTTTAACTTTTAGCCCCACAACTTGGCCATCCAAACCCACATTGGTAACCAAGACTTGCATGAAATAAGCGTTGCCTTTGAGTGTGAACCGGATTCCTCCTTTTCTTTCACATCTCACCCTGCTCTCAAAACAAAAATCCGGCAAGTTTAGCCACAAAACAAACAATTAAGCTTAAGCTTAGTCAGTGGGTCACAAACTAACAACAATACATAATAATACCTCCTGTAGTGGATGTGGATGGGATCTACTGTATCTTTTGTAAGAAGGGAAAAGGAAGAGTCTGGAATTTGAAAGTGGGCTCTGGGGAAGTTGCACCACCCGCCATTATCGGGAGGTAGAGCATAGTTAGGCGCACAGAAATCGGTGGCAGTGAGGACTATTGAACTTGTGCCAGATCTGAGCTCGAAACAAGCCCCACAGCTACTTCCTCTGTTGAATAAAATCCCACTTAATGCGGTGCTATAAGTGCCATAGCTCGTCTTGTGAAGGTCTCCAAAACCACAAGCACCCTCTGCAAGAGCATGAGATATGGTAACTTTATATCACATTCTTTTTCCTAATCACAAGGCAATAAGTTAGTTACCGGTTGCAATGGAGGAATCGGTGTCTTTTGACTTGGTGGCTGTGGCGGACTTCCATTGGGCAGAAGAAGCAGTTATGGCCGAAAGCATGTAGCAGACGATGGCTGCAAGACACAAGACAGCTGTAGAACCCATTTCTTCTTCATATACAAATATTCCACTTTTGTTTGCTTCCCTTTCTTTCTAAAGTAAAAGGTCTAAAGCAAAAGCCACTTTTGTGTTTTTCTTCACCTCAATTCATATATAATAAACAAAAGCATCTAGTATTGTCCTAGCACCAGCAGGCAAAACACATACACCTTTTTTCTCGTCGCTTTTTATCTTCTATATACAGTATACTGTATAGTATATGATTAACATTTCATTCCTTTAGTGTTCACTAATTTACTTGACTGATGCCTGGCCGGCTGGCCCTCGGACCGATGAAATGCTTCTTTCTCCGCACTCAAATTTCTCTTTTACTTGAGACAAATATCACCGTCTATTATATTTGTATACACATCCATCCTATTATCCAATTAATCAGTCGAAATCAAGTTGGTGAATTAATTTTTCCCAATATAATTCTTTTTAAGCTTTACTTCGTTATATATAAAAAATAGATTATTCTTCAAATTAATATAATTTACCATTTAAGAGATAATGAGCAGACACATTAAATAGTTTTACTAATGGTCAAACATTAAAATTGAAATATATTAATTGTTCTTTAGATTTATTTGTATATTATTGGCAACCATGATTATTTTATTTTATCATTTTTTATTTATTTTGATTTCATTTTATAATAAAATTTTTGTAAAATATATTTTCATTGCAGAATATGTTAAATAAACTATAAATACTTATAATGCAAATTAGAAAAATCTTGATTACAGAAGTGATTGAGTTTTTGGCATTTGCTAAATCAAAGTTGTTTAATTATACAAAATTAAATTCTAAAAAAACATGTGTGTATATTTTGTAAAATATTTATACACTATTTAATTTTATATTTATTTACATATTTTAAATTGATTACATAAATAAACAATACTGACGTGTATTTTTCATTACATGAAATGAAAAGAAAAGAAGACGTACAACTTTTATAAATAATAACGATATTATATGTCAACAAAGTTTATAATATAATAATAATCAAGTATTATATGGTTAGCAAGAATAAATAAAATTGTTACTTTCTCTTATATCAATGAATAAATATATATACTAAAATCAAATTTATATTAGTATAAATAAATGTGTTATTGAGATAATATATTAATTATTTTACAAGCTAACCCTAACATGCTTATATTTAATATGGCTAAAAGAACAACGCTGATTAAAAAAGATGGAAAATAGATTATAACCCTAGTGTTTTTTACACTTTACGCTGATTAAAAAACACAGGTGAAAAATAGATGAAAACAACTCTTGCTCTTTAGACTTAAACAGACAGAGTCTGTGAAAATAATTCGTTTAATATGTTTGTCTCGTGCATCGCACGGGGTACGTACTAGTGGTAACAGGGGTAGAACCACCCTATGGCAAGGGTGGGCTCCAGCCCCATGTCCAAAAAAAAAAAAAAATTGCTAACCTTATTTAAAAAAAAAAAAATTATACTTAACCCCCTTTAGCCGTATGTAATTTTTTATGCAGCCCCATTTAATTTCGAGCTGGATGTCCCAAGATTCAGGTCGAATATTTTTGAGTTCAAAATTTTTTATGTGACAACAATGGAGGATAAGTGATGATCGCAATGAGAGGAAAAAAAATAATCATTTATTTTTAAATGACAATTGTGTTCTTATTATATTTTTATCAATTAGGTTTATAATGTAGCCCAACACACTCTTACCTTTTAATTTTTTAATGGGTTGACTTGACAAGTACCAAAATAAGCTGGATAATTAAGTTTGACACATACTTCTCCTGCGGGCTATTTAATTGAGTTAATCTCATTGCACACTCCGTTATCCATTTTCATTTATTAATATTTTTTTTGTTGATTTCACCCTCATTCCCTAGACAAAGAAAAAACTCTACAGAGTTTAGTGCAAACATGTTTGACTCTATTTGTCTGATCGACAAGTTTGATTAGGTATTTGGGTTTGGCTTGTTTAAATATATAAGCGAGTGAGTTTTCCCAATTCAAACCGACATATGTTATTAGATAATTTAGTTCTAGTCATGATCACCAAAACCAGTTACGGGTCGAAATCACCATTGCCGAAAGTTGAAGGACCCTGAACCGGCGCGAACATATGCACGGGCCGGTTCATTGAACTGTCGGTTCTTGGTCGTCCGATTCATTAAAAAAAATAATTAAAAAGTGATATATTTTTTTTTTAAGAAAAAGTGGAATCTCGGGTTTCGGTCCAGTTCAGAACCAAAACTGTTAGTTCAAAATGTATAAACTATAAAATATTGTATATGAACTGAATTGGTCAAAACCACGGGCTAGTTCAAGACCCATGGTCAACGGGCCGGTTTGTGTCGGTTCGGCCTGAACCGACATACTGGATCGACCCATGACTATGTCTATTCGATTTCAATAATAGCTACAATAATATGCAGTCCCGAGTCAAAAAATTTTTTGGCTATGCCCTGAGTAGTAAAACAATAAAATAACAATTTTTAACCGCCATTCATAATTTCACCGAGTTGCACGTACAATTGGTGAATCTCGAGTCTGAGAAAACAAAGAAGAAAAAGATGGAGAGCAGTGGTGAAATGGTGGCGCTGCCGGTGTTGGTGGAGTCGAATTACAGAGCTTGCACCATTCCCTACCGATTCCCTTCCGACAATCCCAAAAGGCCAACCCCTACTGAGCTTTCTTGGATCAACCTCTTCGCCAATTCCATCCCCTCTTTCCGGTTCCTTACCTTTTCTTCTTCTCTATATATTTTCTCATCTACGGTATTGCATTCAATTTCATTATCAATCAAATCAACCAATTTCCACTGCAGTGAACGCGCTGAGAGCGATGATACGGTTCCAGATGCTGCTTCCAAAGCTGAAAAATTTGCTCACAGGTAGTACTCAGCTCGCAACCTCCACACATTTGTTCATAACTTTACTCTCCATCACTTGATTGATTGAAAAAAATAAAATAAAAAGAATTTACGCACTGTTTGTCACTCCTAAGGTATGCGGAAATACTTGAGGATTTGAAGAAAGATCCTGAGAGTCATGGTGGCCCACCTGATTGCATTGTACGTTGATCCTTCTCAACTAAAATGGCTCACTTAGATCTAGTTTTAGTGGCTTGTAGTCAAGTACCTCTGTTGTGCCTTCTTACAATTCAAGTATTTTTGTTTCAGCTCCTTTGCCAACTTCGCGAACAGGTCCTCAGAGAAGTGGGATTCAGAGATATATTCAAAAAGGTCAAAGTAAGTATTCCAATTACTTCCCACTCAGGGTGGATTGTAGGATTCTTGATTACTTTGTAGAGGTTGATGTATTGTTGGGAGAGGGTTTGATGTGAACGTAATAATACTTTATGTATCCTTCTATGCATCACTTTCTGTGAGAGTTGTCTTCCCTTATACAGCCCATGTTCCCTTTCTTGCCTTCTTCTTTAGCAATAGGAAGAACAAGAATGTAGTTTTATGCTTAAGTTGTTTCATTTGATTATATGATAGGATGAAGAAAATGCAAAGGCAATATCCTTGTTTGAGGGTGTTGTACATCTTAATGATTCTATCCAGAATGAACTCGAGCGTTTTGAGAACTTGCTTAGGGGGATCCTTGCGGGTAACATATTTGATCTTGGCTCGGCTCAGGTATGTTGGGCTCCTATCTGCTCAAGGACTATATGTTAAGTACTGCATTCGGGGTCAAGCTAGTACGACGTGCTTGAGAAAATGATGTTGAACATAAACTTAATTTCTTTGTTTTTTGAGTTTTCCCTTTCTTCCTGAAGAAATTATATGATTACGAATCAGCAAAGTCACTTCTTTAAGGTCATGTGTTTACTTAAAAGATCACAATTTTCCTACTGTAACTGTCTAACTAATAAATATACAGAGATCAACTCTCGAGGGCCCGTGCATCGTTTCTATTCTGTCCACCATTTTCTAACTATTCTGAAAAGGAAATTATTGTTTGTTCATAATTTTTTTTCATTAGATATCATCATTTTCAATATACATCTTCAGCGACTTGCAGTCTAGCACACATCACCTACCAATATATTAAAGTTTTTTGTATGTGAGGGCCACCACCATCACAATTCAACTTAGAATGTTACTATTGTAAGGTTACCTTTGCTTAGTGTAATATCAATTATTACACTATGAGGTTGGATCTTACAAGGATTTGAAACTAAACGATTTGAATCCCCTTATAGAAATTCCCTTTGTTTGTTCAGGTGATAATATTTGTCCAATCCCTAAGTCTCATTTTTTATTTGAATTTGAGATTTCGCAGTCGATTTCGAATCCATATTATATTTTGTCATTGCCACGTAATATTTCCTTGGTAATCTGTCTGTGGACGCACCATCTTTATTTGCTTTCATCAGCATACCATTCCTCATCATATTTTAGGAACTTTTGGACTGGATCAACTGTACCTTGCTTCTTTTAAAGCTTCTTAAAGCATTTATATAGTCATCACCTTTTTGGACCTGTTGCTGCTCTGCTTGTACGCAAACATTTGTGTTTCTCTTGGGTTTCATCTCTAGCCTACCCCGACTTGCTTGGGACTAAAGGCTATGTTGTTGTTGTTGTATATAGGTGACGGGTCTGCCTTACCCTACACCCTAAAAGAGAAGAAACAAATCCAAATCTTATCATCCAACTGCAACTTTGAAATATTTCTCTAGGTAAAATAGATTTTCTTTTGCCCTGGGTTTACATAACAAGAATTCTTTCCTTATTTTTGAAGCTGGCAGAAATTTTTGCAAAGGATGGTATGTCTTTTCAAGCTAGCTGCCAGAATCTTGTCCCTAGACCCTGGGTGATTGATGATTTGAACAAGTTCATTTTAAAATGGGCCCGGAGATCTTGGAAAAAGGTTCTTTTGGTTTTATTGTTCTGTTCAATGCATCATTTACTATCTTGAGATCCCTTTTACTAACTTTTGGACATTTATGCCATAGGCTGTAATCCTTGTAGATAATTCTGGCGCAGATATCATTTTGGGTATATTGCCGTTTGCAAGGGAGTTACTTCGCCAAGGTGTGCAGGTGTGATTTTAGACCCTTTACTCGCTATGCTGCGAAAGAGAACTACTAGAGACTTCCCATCGAATTAAATTATGTCTTAGGAAATGCTTTAAGCGACAGGGCATCAAGGGATTGGTTCTTTCATTAATTTTTCTTTCTCCAACAAATTTCTCATCCATTAAAGCATATCCAATTGCACTCAAACTCTAACGGACTTGCAGTGTGATCTGAACATGTGATGTTACATTTTATTTATTTCTTATGCAGCTAGGTAACTGATTGATTTAGTGCAGGTTGTTTTGGCTGCAAATGACTTGCCTTCTATTAATGATGTAACATACCCCGAGTTAGTTGAGATTATAGCCAAGGTACTGCAGCAATTACAGTATTGATGACTTCAGGATAAAATGTATAGTTTCAATTTGTCTAAGGAAAATTCTATTTACAGTTGAAGGATGAGAATGGCAAGCTTCTGGGAGTTGATATTTCAAATCTTTTAATTGCAAATTCTGGTAATGATTTACCGGTAAGAAGCTTCGTGTTGATTTTTTCATGACTTCTTATAGTTCTGAACCCAAAGGTTGGATTGCTTCTGTTGTGAGTGACTGTCCTTATTTTTTATAGGTTATTGATCTTACAAGAGTATCCCAAGAACTTGCTTACCTGGCAAGTGATGCGGACCTTGTCATAATGGAAGGAATGGTAAATGATTATGATCCACCTGCATTCTTCTGCTAAGATTGCTGTGTAATTCAAATTGATGTGGCCTGGAAGTTTAGCCTAATTAACAAGAACTCCACATATCTTCCACAATTGCAAATATCCCCTAGTGTTACAAACACCCATCCAAGTGTTCCAAAAATACTCCCTAGATAACCTAACAAAGGCTGCCCTTTCAAGAGTGCTATATGAAGAAGTGGATGAATATATTAGGCTAGTCGCAATCAGGCTGAACCTAATGGACATTTTTTGGGATTTTCTTCATAACAGCCTGTTTTGACTGATAACTGTCTTCATGCTCTCATGCTCTCAGCGCATAGTACTTTTTTTTTTTTTTTTTTTTTTTTTTTNNNATTCTCACATATGTATTATTGTTTTTGGCCAGGGACGAGGAATAGAGACTAATCTTTATGCGCAGTTCAAATGTGATTCAATGAAAATTGCTATGGTAATGAATATGGGTTGTTATGGAAACATTCGCTTACTGATGGCATATTGCCCATCAACACTAATTCCAATAATAATTTTGTTCATATTTGATCCAGGTGAAGCACCCAGAAGTTGCCGAGTTTCTAGGGGGACGACTCTATGATTGTGTCATCAAATACAATGAAGTGTTGAAATGAATGTGTTTTGTGGAGATGCAACTTCTCATACTATCGCGGAAGTACAAAATTGATTCAGATTCGGGCTCTTTAGCTATATCTGCTCATTAGAGATTTAATCATTTGCCTCATTAGCTTCTATTCAATCTGTTATTTTTCTGGAATAAAACGTTAATTTTGGTGGGACTGTTTGTTTTATTTTGGAGTCTCATACCATGGTCAGCGAAATATTTAAATGGGTGGTATTTAAGATTCATGTGAAGAAATGACATGTCTTCATAAGAATACACTGGTGGTATTGCTCAGATAATCTTTGAACAAGTAGTTGTTCGAAATAAAAATTGGATGTTGCATAAATTTAATGTTCTACAACTAAATGTCCTAAACAAATGGTATAACCATCCAAGGAGTGTTCGAAAAATACTTGCAAAAACCTTTTGGAAAACTACCAATCTTTCTGTCATTCTTGTTTTCTTTTTCTCCCAAACAGATTTATGTTCACCAATGAATGGGTAATAAGAGGATGGAATGGAGTATTGAAAAGATATGATCGAATTGTTGTCTACTAGACATGTCTATGTAAACTACCCGAACAATAAAATGGGTCTTCCAACAATAAAATGGGTTTTGAAAGACGTCATCAACTGTGATCTATTGCAGATGGACCAAAAACAATGAAACTAATACAAGATATAGAACCCTTTTATTTTGACCACTCTAAGAAGGTTTACAAACTGTAAATCAATATCTTTGCAGCTTGCCAATAGAGTGCAAATATACTGCAACTGAAACAACTCTGCAAAAAGAAATAACAAAAATGGGTGACAACAGAAAAATGAAATCAGGAAAAAACAAAAAGAAAAATGTTACATGTACATAATAAATGTACATAGAGGTGTACATAACACTCACGTGAAGTGGGATCCACTTGATTTTTTATTTTTGGTAGGACCCACTCAATGTGAGTGTTATATAAAACTTTATGTACATTATTATGTACTTATAGCATTTCCCAAACAAAAATGATGTTTTTATAGAAATATTCGAATATTTTACTTACGTGGAACCAAGAAAGAAGGCAAGAGAAAGATGAAAACCAAATAGGAAAACGGAGACAACTGCAGTCAACAACATTGCAACTGAAGTTGAGTACACCTGCAAAATTGCTTCATTTAGAAGTAGAAACTACTATAACACTATATTTACGTTCGAATCTTCTCATAGTATATTCAACCCATGTTCATGTGACGTCCAGTGAATGAGCAGTGGGAAACAAACTTAATTGGCCTCAATAAATATTTATTGACAGTGAATGGCGACACAGAATTATGAGCTTCACTAGCTCGACGGACTTTAAAGGTAGGAGGCAAGTGGACTTCTAGATTAGGAATTATATATAAAATTGAAAACTAAAGGAGAGGTTAATAATGAAAGAATAAAAGAATAATCTGGACAAGATCTACTGACAGACTTGCTCGTGACATAATGCAGGTGATGAAAATCAAACTTTACCTTTACTATGTTGTCAGCGAATTTCATAACCATTGATACAGCAATACCACTGCATTTTTTTGGTCTGGAGTGAGATGTTGTCGTTGTGCTTGATGTTCTTCGTCTTTTGGGGATCTGAAGTTTCTGTATTTTTTTGGATCTGAACACATTTGGACGGAGAGAGAATTTTGGGGAGAGAGCTGAAATCTTTTCCAATTTCTTATGATTTTTGTACAAAATAAATGAATCTATATATCTATATATATTGAAAAAGAGAGGTCAATAATTTCTTTTGGTAAAGTTTTAAAAAAATCACAATCAACCAAGTTGACTTACTGAATATGGCAATCTTTTAAAAATCATACCATTTGAAATTTTGATTCTTTTAAAAACCATACAATTTAAAATTTTGATTCCTTATATTGCGGCTGAAAATCTGTTGACGCGTTGCAATTGAAATCTGTTCACACGTCTCCCCAAAATCCGCACCCTCCCGTATTTACCCCATAAAATCTCTCCAAAAACACTAAGAGATCGCCCAAATTCTTTAGCCGCAGCTCCATAAATCATGCCTTAATCTCCCATAAATCCTCACGGTTTCCAAGCAAGGAGTTCAGGAGTCGCTAGATAATCTCCGGATCTGCGGTCGCCTCCACGTTCTGCTCCGCCTCCCAATCCGACGTCGTTTGGGGTCGGTTCCTACTGTCCGATTATCGTGATCTGATAGTCGGTGCCGTCGACGGCCCTGATGCCCTGCTTTCTAAATTCCGTTCTAAAAAGGACCTGTATCTGCACCAGTGTGATCATCCGATTCTCATCGATGGAGGCCGCAAGGTCGGTTTATTTCCTTTTTTTTTTTTGCTTTTTTTGGGATGAAATTGATTCGTAACTGTGTTTAATTTCATATGATTATAGGTTCTGATTTGTGCTATCAAAATTGTTACATGTGGGGGTTTTTTGGAAAAAATAAAAGATAAAAATGAAACTAAGGGTGAAGAGGACGTGCGGGTTCATCACGTGTATGAGTATAAAGCCGAACAGGCGATTCGACCGTCTTGACTACTAAGGATTTTGAGGTTTGAATGTGCATATTTATGCATACTCAGAATGTGTGTATAAGTTAAGCATGGCTTAGTTACCGTTTTTTATTCGTAGGATTGGAAAGTCCCATTAGGTGATGATGGTATGATGCAGAGAATGAGGATGATGATGATGGTAAACACAAATTATGATGACGAGTGTTATTTCTTTTGGCCCAAATGACGTTTGTGGATGGCTGTTTTCCCGGATTGCTCCATCTCCTAAACCTTTGAGATAAGTGTTCTCAAATTTTGAAATCCTCTAGAATCGGTCAGTTTTTTTTCCTCCCGATTCTCCCCTATTTTCCTCTAATCATCCTTTTAATTAGAGTCTGCGTGTGTGAAAAAGAAGAACAGAGGGCAACAGTGTGTGCTGAGGGGATAGAAAAAATATATCCGTGTGCTCTGTGAGTTGAGGAGAAAAATATGTGAGCACTCTTGGTGTGTGCTAAGTATGTGTGAGAAAAACAAATAAATCAAGTGCATGTTTTTCGAGAGTGAGTGCACTTTGAGTGAGTGGAAAAACCAGAGTGTTGTGTGTGCTTTGTGAGTGTGAGGGTATGAAATAAAAACAGAGAGATTGAGAGCATAAACATTTGGTACGTATCCGTGTGAGAGTATTTCGGGGTTTTCATTGTACGAGGCGTGTGCTAACGAAATTCGGGTGCCGGTGGTTCTAATGGTTATGTCCCGAAGCTAGATTCTTGTGATTCTTGTGGGTATAATTATACGGGGGCCTGACTGAGCCTGTGTAATTAACACTTCACGTGTGGCTTTCGAATTCGTCTACGTAAAAGGGTGTAGTCGTTCTCAATCTCATCCTCTCTTGATTACTTTTAATTTATGTTTATTAATCACTTTTATTTTTTTGTTTGTGGCTGCAGTATACACAGTTAAATTGATTCCATGGTGATGGTGATTAGTTTATTTGATTGTTGAAAATCTGCCCCTTTGCTGCTATTTATGTTTGAGCCTGTAGCGGCTGCTTCCGTGACTCATTGGCTGCTGTCCGGGACTGACCAGGAGCTGTTCGGGCTCTACCGGACTGCACGTTAACTCAAAAGATTAACGGCGCTTCAAGCGATCCTTGGACTGGCGGATACCCAACAACGAGGATCAAGATGATGGAAGGCATTAAAGGATGCTTGAGGAGATTACTGGACTACATGGTGATGCCTCCAGAGGTATCTTTTCTGTAACTTCTCATGTTGATTTTGTATTGATAATGGTACTTATAAAAAATATAGTGCCCTTTTGGATTTTTAGAATCTTGAGGATATGATTTATGTAAGCATTTTGAGAGAATTAACTCGAAAATTCTAAATTCGAGTAAAAAAAAAGAAAGAATTTATAGTATCCGAGATATATCCGGAGTTTGAGTACAATCCGAGCAATGTCTGGATGGTGATGGTCGAATTTGAGTACAATCCGAGCAATCCGGGCTTCAAGAACTTTTTATGAATATGGTAAAAAAGAAACTAAAATCGTGTAAAAATTTTCATTTTTACTATTATTGGTACTTTTTTTTTAAAAAAAAAAAATTATTTATCCTGCTGTTTTTCGAATATTAAATAAATCATGTAAAAGTCCGGTCAATCAATCTCAAAATCATGACATTAAAATAGGTAATTAGTTGTGACCATATTTATCTAACCCAACAATCTCAACAAACTTTTCAAAAATTCAATATATTGTGAAATCTTTATAATAGGTAAAACGTGTCAATTTTCGGGTTCTAACAAAAAATACATAACTACTTAAATATTTTTTGTCCATATTTATCTAACTAAAAATTCATTGTTTTTAAGGGTCACAATAAAAAACTCATATATAACTGAAGTCCATCTATATTTTGCAAGAAGCTGCAGTGTGTCGTTTTTATCTTTTATTTTTGTCATTTTTCTTTTATTTTCCTTAGCTAGAGTGATTTGTGCATGGGCAGTACCCATCTGCATTCGGAAACACAAGGCCATGTCCGCAACACATGTATCTCTTATTTATTGCCTCGACTACAACTAATATTCAGAATTTTAAGAAATCGGTAAGGTGGTGGTTTGGACAATGTGCTACCGGCGGGTTTTATCCGGACGACGAGATGCACCAAGTGTTTGGCAGACGACCGGATTGGTTCTACAGGTCGTACTTTTGGCCGGAGAATGTTGCTGCTCGGAGGCAAACGATTGCCAGTAGAAGACTTTGGTGACAGTGTTGTTGGAGATGGTGTGTTCGGCCAATATCGACATGTGGTGCTTTACTTATTGCTTATTTTTCATAGAAATTCATTATGTAAATTAATTAGGTGCTTTATTTCAGTAAAAGGTGATGATTAAAAAGGACGAAAATAATAAAATCCCGTGCATCGCACGGGTACTGTACTAGTATATATATAAAGAGGTTGTTGGAAAAATACATTAATAGAAAGTTTGACCAAATAAATATAATGTTTGACTTACTATTAATGGAAAGTTAAAAAAAATACATGTGAATCTTTAGTAACAAAATCCGAATCCTATTTTTTTGGTAACTAATTTGGAGATTCTTATGGCAAAATTTGAATCCCATATTTTTTTCGTATCCAATCTTATTGAATAATTTTTTCTTTCATAAAAAGTGTATAAATTGGATAAAATCACGTGCAATTTTTATTTTAGAATAAAGCTGACATTTGGACGGGATGTACATTCAAAATTGTGTCCACATTTTTTAGTAACAAAAACAGTTCATCTTTGATATTTAAAAATTAAAAAAAAATCTTAAAATATCCTTAAATATTTAACTTATTTGAGA